AAATTTTATGAGGAATTTCTAATTTTATTAAAAACGTTTGATTAATTTTAGAAAATTTTTAATAAATTTTTCTATTTTTATAGATTTTTTTTTTTAACTTTTCTATTATTATAGAAAAATTTCGAATAATTTTCAATGTATAGAAACATTTTATTAAATTTCCTATTTTTTATAGAAATTTTCGTTTATTTTTTAATTTAAAGAAAATTTTCGATAAATTTTCTATTCTTTACAAAACTTTCTGTAAATTTTTTTTATAGAAAATTTTCAATCAAATTCGTATATTTCGATAGATTATCTATTTTTATACAAAATTTTCGAGAAACTTTGTTTAATATTTCGATAAATTCTGTATTTTTATAGAAAATGTTCCATAAATTTTAGGTTTTAAAAGAAAATATAAGATGATTATTCAGTTTATAGCAAATTTTCTAAAAATTCTGATTTTGATAAAGAAAATGTTCGATAATTTTTCCATTTACATAACTTTCGATAAATATTTTTATAGAAAATTTTCGATATTTTTTTATTTTTATAATAAATTTTGTATTTGTATAGGAAATTTTCTTTAAATTTTGTTTTTATATAAAATTTGGAGAATATTTCGTAAAATTTAGAGAAAATTTTTGATAAAATTTGTGTTTTTATAGAAAATTTTCGATAAATTTTTTATTCATATAATATTTTCGATATATTTTGTGTTTTATAGAAAATTTGAAGAATATTTCGATAAATTTAGAGAAAATTTTCTGTAAATTTTTATAGGAAAATTTCGATAAATTTTCTAGTTTTATAGAAAATTTTCAAAAAATTTTTCAGTTATATAACATTTTCAATAAATTTTGTGTTTTATAGAAATTTTCAAGAATATTTCTATAAATTTTATATTTTTATAGAAAATTTTCGATAAACATTTTCAATAAATTTTGTGTTTTATAGAAAATTTTAAGAGTACTTTGATAAATTTAGAAATATTTTCGATAAGTTTTTTATTTTTATAGAAAAATTTCGATAATTTTTTTATTTTTATGAGAAATTTTTGATAAATTTAGTGTTTTATAGAAAATTTTGTATTTTTATAGAAAATGATTGATAAATTTTGTATTTTTATATAAAAATTTCGATAAATTTTGTAGAAAATTTTCGATAAATTTTGTTATTTAATAGATTTTTTTTTTATAGAAAATGTTTTGACATTTTTTTTATAGAAAATGTTTTGACATTTTTTTTTATGAAAATTTTCGTAAGATTTTGTATTTTTATAGAAAATTTTAAATAAATTTTGTGTTTTTACAGAAAATTTTCAATAAATTTTTTATTTATATTACATTTTCGATAAATTTTGTATTTTATAGAAAATTTTAAGAATATTTCGATAAATTTAGAGAAATTTTTCGATAAATTTTTTATTTTTATAATAAATTTTCGATAAATTTTACATTTATGTAACATTTTCAATAAATTTTGTGTTTTATAGAAAATTTTAAGAATATTTCGATAAATTTAGGAATATTTTCGATATATTTTGAATTTTTTTTTTAAATTTTTCGATAATTTATTTTTATAGAAAAGTTTCGATACATTTTTTATTTTTATAGGAAATTTTTGATAAATTTTGTGTTTTATAGAACATTTTAAGAATATTTCGATAAGTTTAGAGAAAATGTTCGATAAATTTTGTATTTTTATAGAAAAGTTCGAATAATTTTTTTATTTTTAAGTGAATGTTCGATACATTTGGTATTTTTGTAGAAAATTTTCTATAAATTTTGTTTTTATAGAAATTTTTTTATTTTTATAGAAAATGTTTGACAAATTTTTTTTTTTTTTATAAAAAATTAAAAAAAAAATATTTTTATAGAAAATTTTAGATAAATTTTGTATTTTTATAGAAAATTTTAGATGAATTTTCTTTGTGGAAATTTTTTGATAATTTAGTATTTTTATATAAAATTTTGGATAATTTTTGTATTTTCATAAAAAATTTCGGACAAAAATGTTGCAGTTTAATAGAAAATTTTCGATATACATACATAATTTTCATTTTACAACAATTTTCCTACAAATGTAATTTTGTATAGAAAAAATTCTATACAAATTATCATTTTACAAAAAAATTTTCGATTAAAATCTGATTTTATAATAAAATTTTCTAAAAATTTGATTTTATAATAAAAAATTTCAATGAAATGTCCTTTCCTTAAAGAGAAATGTTGTTTTCATATGCATTTCATAAAAACATCAAAGCATTCCCACTCCTGTGTTTAACTCTGTCATTCTATTTACAATCTGGCAGTCCGGCAACTCCCTTTAAAGTAGATTTATGTAAATTTTAGTGTTGTCAAGTAATTTAAAACAAAATAACGGTTATTAAAGGGGTTTTGTGGTAAAAACATTACAAAAATATTACAAATCCAGTAAAATCTTATTTTTGTATAATTATTTAAAAAAAAGTAAGTTCAAATCAAGAGTTTTTCTATGTGCTAATTAATAATTTTCAAAAACTATTGCTCAGCTTAAGTAAATTGTATAATTTTGCGTCATTTAGTTGTTTATTTAATAGTTTCCCTTTATTTGCACAGCATTTTTTCTTTATTTATTTATTAATATTTACTATTTATTTAAATTTAGGTACTTACTTTGTATCTCCATTTCCCCCAATCTTCAAAAAAACTAATTTATTACTTAATGTGGCCCCGTAAAATGTATACATATATTTATAAAAAAATTTGTTTATTTTTTTTTCAAACTTTGTCATTATTATCTTCCTGTTCGGGGAATAATAAACTACGTAACTTTTATTTCTTAAGTTAGCTTTTAGGTTCCGTCTGTTTAATCATTAAATTATAACGACCCAATACCGTAAAACATCTACAATTTGTGCTTCTACCTGCCTACATTCTTATATCTAATATTTAGCTGTTATTTCTAAAATTTTTTCTTGTATTCATATCAATTTTCTTATTCTCAACCTTCGAATTAAATATTTATTCTTTTCTATGTTTTTTTTTTGCTAAAATTGTTCGTTAAATTTGAATATTGTGGTGGGTTTTGATTACTCAGCTAATGTTTATGTTGTGTATTTGAAATATGCTATTTATTTGTAATCAATATGTTATTTTTTTATAAAAAAAACAACGTTACAATACTTTAATTATGACTTCTTGTTGATTTCATATAGTTTTTTTATCTGTTTCTTCAATAGTTTCTTTTATCAGTCCCACATTCCTTTGGCAATGTTATGAATTCATTTGTAATTTTAATACTTGGAAAAAAAAAGAAAACAATAGTTTCAACATTTTTTAATTACTCTTTAGTTTGGGTATTATTTTAATATATCGATAAGAATATTTAAACTATTTTTCTTCTTGCGAAATGCTAATAATTTTAAAATCAAGTACATATTTTAAAAACAACGTCATTAAAAATATAAGTTTCAAGCGGAAATTCCAGAATTTAATTCAAAATTTTCACAATCCGTCATAAATCATCATAAAAAATTCTTATATTAGTAACCAAGAATATTCCCATCAATATTAATTAGCTTTAGAGTGCTAGAGACTAAATAACCGCACATTTTATCACTGCGACGTTGTGATCCTGGTCTGAGATTACAAGGGCATTCTTGTCAATTTGGCTAACAAATTGTTCCGTAATTTTAAGGTTAGATTAAGTCTCGCTTCCAAGAAAATTCTAATTCATAATTACCATCTAGTATTCGTATAAAGGTTAGGAGACCTTGATCACCTTCAGTCATGTGGAAGTGGAAAAATTAAGACATTCGAAGAGCTGGATTTCTAGTATCTCCGCTGTATTTGTTTTTTTGTTTTGTCTTGACCAGAAACACCATTCTAAGTATAAGTTTAATTTTCCTCCCGAAAGGTTCAGGATGATAAAAATCCATTTAGATTTTTTTCGGTTCCGCAAGTTTTCATTTCTACAATGGCTTTAATGGATCTTCACGAGTCTTCTTGATAACTTGGATAAAGACTTTGAGCTTTCCCACTGATTATTTTACATCATTATGCTCTCAATGCTCTGACTACAGCCGCCGTTTTTATACTTCGGAGAACCCAGATAAAGCCGCACTTTTAATATCGCGTGAAATAAGGTCAAGTCAGTTCTCATGGAAAATATGGTATCTCTATATGATATAGACTTCTGGAACCTAAACCTTTATTTTGACACATACGCAGATACCTGGCTTCTGGATATGTATGAAAGGTCTCGGTAAAGTCTAAAGTTTGTGCGTTATTGAGGTGCAATATCTTAGTTACTAGGGAATCTCATGATGTTTTCTTTCAATTGATCTGGCAACACCATTAGCAAGCCTCAGTGTATGTATCTTTTTCCCAAAGAGAAATGGGAGAAAGAGAATGTAAATAAATATCTGTGTTAATGATTGTACTATATTTTAACTATTTATTATATGATATGCGTTTATATCGCTTCACAAGTAAGCGATATTTTTATACACATATTTTTATTACTTTTTTTGCAATCATATATATTCAATATGTATAAAACGATTTTTTTTGCCGATGGCCAGCAGCGACAGCAGGCCGGCAGTTCAGATATTTATATGAGGTAACGCTGCAACGTCAGCTACAATAATTGCCGTTGACGATAAAGCGACTAGCGATGATGATGATGTTTATTTTTCTATATGTATAAAAACAAAATTATGGTTGTTGTGCTATTGTAGTTACTGTATGTGGAATGTTTTAGTAAAACGACACATACATATAGGACAGGCAAACACCAAGTGTACATACTATACGGTACAACTCCTCTTCTCTATTTACCCACAACTACTTTATACTCTGTTGTCAGTATCAGTAACACGGGTATGTGTGTTACTGGTTAAAGCTCAATGTTGTTGGGTCTGCCAGTCATCCAGCCAGCTATACCCGATCAACAGTAACAACAACATCACACACACACAATACTATGACAATCTAACTTTATTCAGAAACTACGGCGCTACAGCAGCAACAAGCAGTTAGTAAAACGACCGTCATTCAAGCTGTTTTATAGGGAGCAGGGAGGCACTAACCGGCAGACGGCCATAAAGTCACAATTTTTTTTTATTATTTTTTGCGGCAGTAACTTTGAATTTTAAAATATTTTGCCATTTAGTTGGCAGAGAACTTGCTTTCGCGTATGATCGTCAACACAAAACTACGGGCGCTAGACAATTTTGAAAGAAAAACGTTTAAAACGAGAATAAAAAGACAGAGAGAAATAATCTCGGTCAATAATTTCGGTGCAATTTCAAATATTTTAACAAATATACAAAAAAAGTGGAACATTTTAAATACGAAATTTTTTCTTTTTTAAAAAAGGTGTGTGTTTAACAAGTGCTTTAATTAACTTAAATAATATAATTTTCTTTAATTAATTTCCAAAAAAATGTGTTTTTCCCTAAAAGTAATTGAAAAAATATGTACTTTTAAATAATTAACTAATTTGTTTACCTATTTATTTAGTTAAACACATATCTGGATTTGTTCGAGAATGTACTGAGAGAAAAAAAACCTGTTAATTAATGTGCTAATCATTTTCAGACATGTTCATGTTTAAATTTTGTTCAATTTATTTTTAAGTTGCGGTACTTTTTGTCAAAATTTTACTTGAGTTTTTTTTGTTATTGTCGTGAACTTCACCTTAAACTAAAACTTTATTGTCAATTCATTGAATATTTCATGGAATTATTATTATGAAGATTTTTTTTACCTAATCTTCAGCGCGCTCTCTTACTTCTATTGTCGTATTTATTTTGCTGTGCTAAATTTATTTATTAATTTTTTAAAATGATCAATGAATGAATGTACTAAGATGATGTTGTTGGTTGGGGTTTTTTTCCTTAGAACTAAAAAAAACTTGTTTAGAATGTTTAAATTTCTGGGTATTTTAAAAGTTTCAAAAGAATAAAGAAGATAAACTAGCCACAAGATTGTATACTGGTATATAGTAACGGGATCTTTTTAATTGTAATACTTTTTCCAAAAGAAATCTAAATTTTTGGAAAATAGTATTTGTGCAGATGGAGAAGTTGATAGACAGATGGAGAGAAGATAGATAGATGGAGAGATAGATAGATGGAGAGATAGATAGATGGAGAGATAGATAGATGGAGAGATAGATAGATGGAGAGATAGATAGATGGAGAGATAGATAGATGGAGAGATAGATAGATGGAGAGATAGATAGATGGAGAGATAGATAGATGGAGAGATAGATAGATGGAGAGATAGATAGATGGAGAGATAGATAGATGGAGAGATAGATAGATGGAGAGATAGATAGATGGAGAGATAGATAGATGGAGAGATAGATATATAGATATATAGATAGATAGATAGATAGATAGATAGATAGATAGATAGATAGATAGATAGATAGATAGATAGATAGATAGATAGATAGATAGATAGATAGATAGATAGATAGATAGATAGATAGATAGATAGATAGATAGATAGATAGATAGATAGATAGATAGATAGATAGATAGATAGATAGATAGATAGATAGATAGATAGATAGATAGATAGATAGATAGATAGATAGATAGATAGATAGATAGATAGATAGATAGATAGATAGATAGATAGATAGATAGATAGATAGATAGATAGATAGATAGATAGATAGATAGATAGATAGATAGATAGATAGATAGATAGATAGATAGATAGATAGATAGATAGATAGATAGATAGATAGATAGATAGATAGATAGATAGATAGATAGATAGATAGATAGATAGATAGATAGATAGATAGATAGATAGATAGATAGATAGATAGATAGATAGATAGATAGATAGATAGATAGATAGATAGATAGATAGATAGATAGATAGATAGATAGATAGATAGATAGATAGATAGATAGATAGATAGATAAATAAATAAATAGATAGATAGATAGATAGATAGATAGATAGATAGATAGATAGATGGATAGATAGATAGATAGATAGATAGATAGATAGATAGATAGATAGATAGATGAAGTGAACAGCTAGTTCCACCTATTTGAAGTTCAGTAAAGATCCTATCTTTTATTAGGACTTTGGCGTCAAATGGGATAACGTATTAGAGGTCCGTGAACGATCTTCCACTAGAAATTCATGATTAAGGTGATAATTGAGTCACCAAAATAAGGATTGAAAATCACCAGTTGTCGATCGTGAAATGGGTTTGTTGTCTTCTGTGCCTAATCTTCAGTTTTAATAGATTTTTTATATTATCGACGATATTTCTTTTGACGAATGATCGCCAGTGCACATATTTTCGTAGTGAAGATACAATTGTCAAGGGACCAAAATGACTGATTTCATTCTTATGATATCTGATAGGATATCTTTTTTCACCGGAAGTTCTTTTCTGGAAAAAACAAGCTATTGTTAAGTTAGCAATCTATATCCGAAACTAAGACGCTCATAAAAATTAGAGTGTTAATCCGGTTAATCCGAAACGTTGTTAACTGATATAGATGTCAGATAAAATACTATCAACCTTGAAGGAAATTGCTTTAAAGCTTGGATCCAATAGGCGATGCTTGGATATGTTCATCTGAAATAGCTATTTAAATGGATAAAGTTCTGGGGGAAGACTATATATATAGACTATAATTCATAGTATATTTGACTATTGTCCGTATAAAATAACATTTAGTCCAAGACCCAGACTATAGTTGAAAATATATTCCAGTCTACAGTCCAGAATATACTTAGTGGAGACCATACTTCAGACTATAATTCATTCTTTTGTTTAGACTATATACCACGTTATTAAGTTTATAGTCTGCACTATAAAAAAGGTACAGTCCAGGCTATAGTTCAGAGTAAACTTGTATGTTGACATCTTGGTGACCTCTGTCAAAATTTCTTAAATTTTGCTATAACTAAAAAATAGTATGTACATTTTTTTATATCGAATATTTTTATAAATACTATGAAATTTATTATTTTTATTATCTTAAGTTTAGAATCAAGATTAGGGTCAGCTATTAGTTTCTTAATAACTTTAAATATGTTTAAAAATATGGTTTTATTAGCTACTATCATAAAAAAACGTCATTTGTTCTAATTTTTTTATTATTTGTTAAATTATCTTGATTCTTTAATGTTTATTGAGCGGTAATTTCAAAGTGCATAGTTTTTTATGTAATTTGAATAAACCTAAATTCTCAATAAATAACGAGGGTTAAATAATAAGTATTATTTAAAATAAAAAATAATATACAAATTTTAAGAATATAGAAGAAATTTGGGTGACGTAATGTTTGGAATTTAAAGAATGAAGCAAGTAGGGAACTTAGAGTTATAAAAGATAGCTATCAGACCTGACGAATTCGTAAAAAAAGTGAAATGATTTAAACGCATTCAAACTTCATATATTAAAAAATGCAATACTCCTGACTAGGCGTATAGAATCCAGAAAAAATAGATGATTTCAGTTTTAGTTTTGCAGTGCAATCAGCTGTTTAAATATCATTACCCTAACGAATATATGTGGAGATCCCAATTTTGTATTTTTTGGTCCGTTATTTAAATATTTTATACGATTCTCTTATATTGTAGTTTTTTTTCCAATTGCTAAGGTTTCACCCTCGTATAGATATTTTTAAACTATAAATAAAACTTTAATTGCAGCAAATATTTAAGATTTTTTCTTGAAATCAATGATGCGTTCGTCTTCGATTTCAATGCATTGTGATTTTTTTTTTCTTTTTATTTATATTTACTTTTTTTTTTATTAAAACAAGATGAGACCGACATTAATAGCAATAATATGAATAAAAATTTAAACAAAAAAACAAAAATAGACAGACTTTGTTTAATAAACGGTTATTTTATATTTAGTTCCATTGTTGACTTTTTTGTGCAATTGCATTTTGTATGTTTTTCAACTTGTGTTGTTTCTCTCTCTTTTTACTTGATTTTTCTTTTAGTTTTTTTCATCATTTTTGTTATTTCTTTCAACCAACATGACATACTTTCTCAGTAATCTTTTTTTTTTTCTACATACTTTGTAAATATTTCTTAGTTTTAATTTTATTTTTATTTATTTATTATTATATACATGTTTTTTCTTTGCTTTATAAAGAAAAAAACTAATATTAACTTGTCTTAAACTTAGAACTTGATATAATAGTGTTGCTGTCTAAAAAGAACAACAATTTTTTTTACAGAAACCATCAACAACTTCTAGACAATAATTCAAACTTTTAACTTATTACTTAAATACATGCAGAAATGTTGTTATTTTTTTCTTAAAATGTTGAAAAGACTAAATTATTCTTTATTATTTATCTATTGCTAACTCTAACAGAGCTACCATTCAAATTAACTAAAACCATCTGGTAGCTTTAATTTTAAGCTTTGTTATTGCTGTCAAATTACAGACGACCCTGCCTTATTTCTCTGCTTCTTCTTAATACTTGCTTTTTTACACTTTTGGGAAAACATAGAGACGTCATTGTAGGCCATCTTATTTATGTGAGTTTGTTTGTCTGTTGTCTTTTTTTGGAGATTGCATGTCATATAGTAACAACAACCACATTCATTTACTTTACACACCGCGAGAAAAAACCAGTAATTCATCATTATACATGTCTTGAAATGATGTTTGTAAAACCAGTTGAATATAACAAGTGGTTCCCAGTTCTTTTTTCTTTTATTTGTTTCTTTGTAAACTTGACAACAAAAACAGTTTTAACATACATTTTTTGTAATTTTTGTTTGTTGTTAATTTTCTTTTAAAATGCTCATATGTTGGTTGTTTTTTATATATTTTTGGTTCACATAAAGTGATTCTTAACCAACTTTACCGGTTTGTTTTTTAAAGAAAAATTTTACCCACAAAAATATGTGTCAACTTTATTTATTGTTTTATTTTCATAGAAATTTAGTTTTCTTACTTAATTTGGTAACAGGATTTGGGGTTGAGAACATAAAGATGGGCACTAATATAGAAAAAAGTGGGAAATTTCAAAATCATGTTAGGTATTTCGAAAGAATATTGAGACTACATTTCAAGATAGATAGATAGATAGATAGATAGATAGATAGATAGATAGATAGATAGATAGATAGATAGATAGATAGATAGATAGATAGATAGATAAGATAGATAGATAGATAGATAGATAGATAGATAGATAGATAGATAGATAGATAGATAGATAGATAGATAGATAGATAGATAGATAGATAGATAGATAGATAGATAGATAGATAGATAGATAGATAGATAGATAGATAGATAGATAGATAGATAGATAGATAGATAGATAGATAGATAGATAGATAGATAGATAGATAGATAGAGA